CCAATGGCAATCAAAGCACACTGGTGGACAGGCTACAGGGTATGCTGAGGATAGGCTTATCTAAGTTTTATTTGTACTTCTGGCCACTCCTGTATTGTGCATATAGTATTAAAAGGCTTGCTCTTGCCTTAAGACATTCTTTGACAGTTGTTGTACAGATCAAAACAATTCTTGAAAAAGGAACCAAATGTTTTTGCACTGTCTTGTTAATATCTCTTGGGAAGTGAAGTAGCTTTATATCAAAGCCTGACTTGAGCAAACTAATCCACACTTCCATGAGGATTGAACAGCTGGGAGAACAGGGTAGCCACTTGATTCAGGTGTACTTTGTGAAGTTTGTAAATAAAATACATTAAGCTTGCTAATAAAACCATATTTTAGGAAATTATCTTTTTCCAATAGTATGGTGGATGGCACTAGTAAATTCAGAGAGGAATACATCTGTTAGATTCAAGCTATTCCATTCTCGGGCATTTTTGCTGCAGATAAGGTGGTGGATTAGAGAAGGTTGACTGTATAGCCCGATTTCACATTTTATTAATTCATAATTTGATTACACATGCATATTTTTTTTAAGTGTTATGATTTTGAAACTTTGATATAAACACAATTTGGGTCCAGGTGCATCAAATTAAGATTTTTCAATAACACATTTTTTTTTTAAGTTTTTAAAAACATACACACACACAAAATATGCATTTATGATTTATTCTGAATATTTTACAGATTTGATCATTTTCAGGACTAACTATTTGCTTTATATTTATAAACTTGTTTGCCTGATTGAAAGTGCTAATTTTTTTTTAATGCTCTATAGTTTTTCTGCTATCTGTGCATCCACAGTTTATGTAAGAAATATCAGTCATTTGTGCACACATCAAATTACAGATGTGTGCACAAATTTCAAATGCTATTTCAAATTTCAAGAGCATTTACTCATTTTTCACTATTTGTATGGGGCTATAAACAAAAATATAGACTATTTTAGATCAGTGGCAAAATAAAGGATGAGAGAAACTAGGTTAACTTAATCATCCTCAAACATCTTGTAAACAATTGTATATGAGGCGTGCAATGCCATATATTGTAAACGCCAAAAAATAAACTTCTCAGGAGAGGTAAATAAACACTTTTTCTAATGAATGAATTCATTTCAATTTTACAATAAAATGGTAAAAAACTCACTAGGTTACAAATTCTCTGTAATATCAAAATGATGTAAATATAAGCCGTAATGTTTTAAGCACCAAAAGTGATATGACTTGCACTCTGGCACTTTAAACGATATATCTTCACATAAATTCATCTTCAAAATACAACCATTTACAGTGCCAATATCGCTACAATATTTTTTGTGTCAGAAAACATTGCATTTAGAATACAATTCTTCAATAAAACATATTCAGAGAAAAGTGGCATTTACAACATTATGGCATTGCACGCTTCATATATAGAAATAATTTCAATAACAATTGATTAAATAGAAAAGGAAAGTATAAAATGCTATTGAGCATGTAATTTTGTTCATAATTTGACTTCACTGTACGCTTTCTAAATGGAAAAGTATTACGTGTTTTGTAATGTCATAATTTCTAAATTCCTTGTGTCACCTATTTCACCTATTATTACATGTTTATTCCTCTTTCCTAAGAAGTATGACATAACAGATGTTAATTGATTTACTTGTAAACAGAAGTATAAAATATGTATGCATTTCAAGCTACAAATTTTTATTGTATTACTGGTGCTTTTAATGTGCATAAAGCATATTGTGAGCATTTTAACATTCATATATCTGGCATTTTTTGTGTTTATATATGCACATTTATTGTGATTTTAAATGCATATAAATCTAGCCCTTATTCATAATCTATGACTGTAAATATTGGTCTAACTATGTAAATAAAATTTGGTTATATCAGTGTACTTTTCTGATGAGAATGGATTGTTGATTTGATCTTAAAGTTTATTAAAGAAAATAANGCTGTATTTTATTGTCTGTCCAGTTATTAAAGTCAGTCTTAGTGAGGGACCAGTACCAAGCCATATAGTTTCCTTGGATTGTATGGGAGTTATCCTGGCTATGACGAGGAGGGCATTAGTGGCTGCCATCATATAGGCTTTACATATTTTAATTGCAAAGCTTCTCTGTAAGGAGAGGTAAAAATAACACAATTAAATGGTGTAATAATAAATTAAAACATGGAAAGAATAAATAAAATATGTAAATACTGTGTAAAAAAATGAAAAATGCATTTAGTGGTCGCACACCGTTGACTCACTGACTTCGGCATTTTAAACGTGGTGGCCAGATCTGCCATGCATATATCACTTAACTTCCTTTTTCGTCTGTCGTCACTATTACAGCCTTCTTCTAACTTTTATTACATTTTGTTGCTTCCACACACTTCTTGGATGCAGTGATTAATAAGTAAAACTTTTTATCACTATCATTTTCAATCTTACTAAAAGGCCTTTTAATACACATTGGTGCCTCTTACTTTGAATTTAATTCATTCCAAGTCTGTTCAACCTATTGTCAAGTCTATTGGATTGAACAGAAAGTTTTTGAGTATTTTTTACATTTGTTGGTATTTAACATAGAAGTTTGATTTAATTATAACAGTTGTGACATTTAACAATGATTTGTCACCAGGGGGAAGCTAAAAAAAATCTACATTTACCAGCACCTTTCCTCGGTAGATATAAAGCTCAAATATCCCCGAGTGGTAAGAATGGAAAGAAAACAGATGATGTCTGTAAGATCCGGCAGTTACAAATTTTAAATTTGTAATTTTAATTGGGTGTTTTTTTGAGGATGTTTTTTAAATTGGACAGCCAAGCAGCCTAAAAAGAAAGGTTGGGTCATCAAATGTTTGTATTCTGGAACACTAGAAATAAATAAATAGTGGCTTCCAGTTTTGGACAGACTGTGTCTTCAAATTAATTTTCACATTATTGCTAATTTGACATTGTATTTTTAGTTCAGAAGTTTATTTTTCACTTCAAGTGCATTTTTCACTATGCCTGCAGTTTGAATTTTGAAGCATTGTTCAAACTCAAGCAATTTTTGTCAAATTTGGCATTCAAACTCTGAAGTGTTTGAAATTAGTCATTTGAAGTATGAGGTCTTACCATATTACATATATTATTGAAATATATATATATATATATATTCATGCTTTATTCTAAAACCACGTTTTTATACGATAAATAATTGTAAAAAATTCATCTGGATAAATTCAAAATTTGAATTTTGATATTAGTTGATTAAACTAGTTATCAGTTAGATGATCAATTTGACCACTTCCCTGATTATATTCTCAATTGGAAGGCCTGAAATGTCCTAGTGACCTTGATAAAAGAGCTAAAATGTACTAAACGATCCCACTAAAGTGATGAAAGATCTATAATGACTCACCATTCCTTTAAACTTGAAAGAAAGCTTAATAAATCGCTCCCCAAAATGAAGGACTTGATTGATATATCCTATTTAACACAAGTTCTTTTTTTAAAAATTGTTATAAAAACATGTTAATTTTTATAGTAAAAGATGATAGCAGAGGGTAAGAAGAAGAAAAAGCTCATAAATTCTCCAAAACTAATTAACAACATCCCAATCAAGGGTAGTCAAGTTTATCTATATAATCACGAAAGCGTAAACACACGTACAGTTTTACGAGTATCGATCACAATCAGTAGATAACGATCAGATAGAGAAAGAGAGCGAGTGAGCGAGAGAGAGAGAGAAAGAGAGGAACAAAAATCGAAATGGTCCAAAGTAAAACTAGTTAGTTTGGCCGCAGGTTCCGTTTGGCCAACAACGATTGCAATTTACTCGAGCAAATTAGGCACCGGTGACTCTGTTGGTCCGATTTCACAAATGACACCATCAGTGCATCCCAAATCTAAAAGTCTCAACGGCATCGTAGAGAAGTGTACGGTGGTGTAACAAAATGTCACTAGGAATGGGCGTTACGTTGAGGAGTGGGGCAGGTGCAACTTCTCATGCATATCCCCAGGAGACAAGGCAGAGTGGGGTATCTATTGTTGAAACTACTACCACACCCATAAATCCTATGGATAATCCATTCTATTAGGATCAACTGCCACCAAGAATTCATCTAATTCTTGAATTTGGTGGCAACTCCCATCAGTCCTTGTTTTATGGAGTCATTAATGTGCTTTCTTTATTTAGCAAGTGTGAGTGGAGAAAAAAAAATTGTGCTGGGGATTGAAGAACAGATTGAAGGTAATGGACGTATGGTGTCATTTGAACCACACCCTGTTGGTGTCCAAAGTTAGACCAATTTAGCCTCAACTCTTCTGTATCATAGATATCACTAATACATATTTTTCCACATCATTGGATAGATGAGCTAGGATCGTAAGGCTATATCTTTCAATTCGTACAATATCCTATTATAATATTTTTAAATATATTCCCTCCTCTATCATTTTGTATAGGTTTAATATAAATTAGTTTAGGTTTAGGTGGAGTTAAGTGAGGTCATTTCCTTTCAACCACACCTTATTTGTATCCAACTGTACATTATAGCTATGTCTATCGTGCTGAATATTTCTCGTAAATTAATTATAATTGCTTCGAGATGTAACAATTGTGAAAAAAGATTCTATCTAAAAATGATATTGTAATTAAAATTCAAAAATTTGATATTCTTTCCTATCATCAGTCATAATTTTCTATGATTCCTTCCTTCCTAGTCTCTTTTAATTCTCTATTCTTTTCTATCTTACATTTCCATATTCCTTTTATTCTAATCTTTTTTAAGCACTTGTTCCTTATTCTTCTACTTATACTGTTTCTTGTATTTTCCCTAATTCCACGTCTCCTTGTTCCNTCAATTGTTAGAACAAAAAATAAGAAATTTATCTGAATTATTTTAGTACAAACCATAGTTTTTTTTTAATCTACTAGCCTAATAAACTTTAACAAATTAGTATTTCCTCATAAGTTCTAAAGAGCATGTTGCATTTAAATTCTAGGTGTAGCAGATGATGTACATTATAGTGCTGATTTAGGACCATCAATTGCACCTTCTTTACCTCTTCCTGATTTACCAACTATTGTGCCAGAAAGTCCCTTGGAATCGCATCATCCACCTCCACCTCTACCACTTGGTTCTTTTGAAACATCATCAGTAACCAAACAGTTGGCACCCCCACCCCCACCACCACCACCTCCGCCAGCTCCTCCGGATGCATCAGTCCCAGTGGGGACTGATGCATCCGGATGCACCTTCTGCAGGACTGCCGCCACCACCACCTCCTCCTCCACCTCCACCTCCACCTGCTCCAACAGAAGCTACAGAAAATGATAATTTATCACAAGGCCCTCAAGAATCGAAACAACTTGTCAATGGGGTTCCAGAGGCAGTGAAGAATCCTGGAGATGCAAGAGCAAATCTCTTGGAATCCATACGTCAAGCAGGTGGAAAAACAAAGTTAAAAAGTGTCAAAGAAAGAAAAATCGAAGTAAAGAAAAAGAAACAGGTACTAATAAAAATTATATTTTTAAATTTACTAATTTAAATTAATAGACAAAAATAGAGATCTGCATCTTGTTTCCTAATTTCCAGCATCCACATTCCTAATAACTGTATTATATTTACTGCTTAAATTCTAATTTTTTAAAATAATTACATTCTTTTACATTCTGATTTACTATCATTGTTGTGTAACTATTTTATATTTTAAGTAATGTAAATGGCCATATGCATCAGTAATCTTTCACATATACAGTACATTGCATCTGGTTTTAAGTGTGTTTTATATTTTCTAATTACTTGACACAGTTGACCCAAGATGTCTTTCTTTCATTTAAAATATACTGCCAAGTAAGCCTAATTCACTATCACTGACATCTCAATTTGCATATTGAAATCCAAATATTTTTGAAAATATGAAGTTTCGTTCTTTTTTCTTGTGATAATTTTTTTCTTTGTTGCCAATTCTGATCATTTTATCATTTAATGAATTATTATTTAAGTTTCATTAATACATTAATGCTCAGAGTTATAGTAATAATAATATCTACATAATAAATTCAGTCACCACACAGAACTCACCTAAGAATGAAGTGTTTGAAGAAAGTGGATAAGGTGACATTCATGGAAAAGATGACTATAACACAATAATGCGATTATAGTAATCTTTTTCATAAATGTCTTATCACATACACTACATACAACTCTAGAAACATTATACCATAATCACAATATTTACATTGTATTACAAAAGGCAGTAAAACTTGAACACATATCCTGTAGCCTGAAACTTTTTAAACATGTGATACAACAAAGTAAGTACCTATTTGTATGCTGTTAATCATTTCCACTAGCTATGCCTTGACTTTAAGTTATTGCATTTGGCTTAGTATCAAGTGAGTATTCTATTATTGTGATGGTGATGTACACCACCATAATAATTTCTAAAATGATTGTTGTTTTTGGACATATATCTTTTTCTAAGTATTTATCTTTGACATTTAAAAATCTGTTTTGATTTTTAATAAATTGTATTTCAAAATAAATGTTACGAGTTAATATGATTTGCTGAATTCAAGACATTACTTGCTTTACAGGAAGAAAAAGCTGGTGCAAGTTCAGGTGATTTAATGGTTGATTTATTCAATAAATTACAAATGAGAAGAAAAGGAATATCTGGTGAGCAAACTTTGTTAGTTTATAAATAATGCTTAGAGTATTAATCATCATCATCAAATTCTTATTTTAGTTTTTACAAGGTGATTAATATTACAAAAACCAAAGTGAAGATTTTTTATAACCAATTATTAAAGTTGGAACAAAGATGAATCACAAAGCAAACACCATTAATACTTTTCTAGTAACCAATTTATTGAGAAAAATGAATATTTTTGGCTTATGTAAGAAGACTACTTCAGGTTTAACTACAGAATTCGAATTTGACATTTTAAAATGGAACTAATCAAGCATTCATGATATATGAATGCTTGATTAGTTCCATTTGTTAACTTACAAAGCATTCATGACATATTATGTAGTTTTGAGTATTTAGCTCTTTTAATATTTAAGGCAATATTAAAAGAGGATTGCATTAACAACAAAGACTGTGAAGCACTGTCTGTTGTTTATGCCAGACAGTGTTGAAGATCATTGTTTGACTACCTCTTGAGAAACTTATTATTGGACATAACTTATAATTGAAATAAATGAAAAAAATGTCCTTTGTGATAATTATACCATCAAAAAACTAATTGACTTGTGTAAATGAATTTTAAATGACATTCATAAAATTATTTTTTTAATAAATTAAACATGCTTTACAATTGCAAAGAAGAATTATTAACTATTTGTGAATATATAACAAAAATATCTATAGGAAAATCCACTTCATAGGAAAGATGAGGTAAACTACTGATGGGTGATAAAATATGACATCAATGGATGGTGTGAAAAATTAAAGAAAAACTGCTACAACAACAATGCCATATAAGCACATGTTGGTAACACAGACAAAGATAAACTACCAGGTAAGGGGTAGTGTATCTTTAATCTTTCACACCCTTAGACAATATTACAGTCAACCTTTTCTTGGTTGATAACCTTATCTTTCCTATCCTTCATTAGCATTCCTCCTGTCCTTTTACAATTGAAAATTCCCACTTAACATGGTTCAAAATGAGGTAACAGTTTGAGGAAATGTGAAAAGTATAATGCTTGCTTTACACAAAATTCAACATTGTAACAAAGTGTAATCTGCTGTAAAACACAATTTTAATCTTTCAAATCTTTACCATCTAAACTAGTCTGGTCTGTATTCTATGAAAAATGAGTCAATTTAAATGAAAAAGATTTGAAAGATCAAAATTATTATAATGTTATCATTTACAAAATTATATTTTGCATCACTCCTAAAGGAAAAAAAATGATATTCTCAAAGAATAATCATGACATTTCTTGTGTATTTAACTGTAAGTATTTTTAATGTCTTAGTAACATTTTAAAGTCACTTTTGAACAGTACATGCAACATTAATGGAAGAATTGTACTGGATCTGCTTTGACATAAGTATATATGTAATTTTTTTAATGCAAAAAATGGAATACAGAAAATAAAAACTGTCTTCACTTATATAAGTTTTCTATTGCCATTCGTATAATTAAAATAATTGTATGTTAAATAAAATTAAAGCATTTGCACAATAATGTATTAATATTGATTTTGTTAACTTACAAAATATAATCATCAATTGTTAGAACATAAATATACAGAGTGTTCACTTAAACATTGTCCAGGAGCAAAAATCTTTCCAGTATTTCATAAGAGTAAGTATGTAGTGCATGCTTGTTTCAGTACTAAACTAACTAAAGGGAATCAATTTGAGACAATTTAGCATAAAATACAAATAAGCACTAACCTAAGCTCATTATGGTTATAATGGATAAAGACAACATGCAAAAATGGATACAAGTGAGCTTTATTTTGTTAGAGAATATGTTCAAAATTACCACCATCTTCAGTTGGAATACAAAGATGTAGATAGTCAGGTTTAGCATTATGAACAGCATGTAGCATTCCTGATGTCCCATTTCTCAGGTCTATCATATGTGTCTCCCCAGTCCACCAACATTATACACCAGTGCTTTTAGGTGATCCTGCAGGAAAAATTCAAGGGGGCCAATTCTGGGAAATATGATGGCCATGGAGTAGGCCTTTGTTGTCCTAGTCAGCAGTTGCCAAACTGTTCTGAAAATCACTGACACACACCTTTCTGGGAATGGAGCTGGTACACCTATCATGCTTGTATTGAACCTGTTGTGAATCATCCAGAGTCACATAACTGATCCAGAAATAAAAGATTAACTATTTTAACACTAGAACAGGCATACACCATATGCATACTCTCTTGAAATGCTGGAAAGATCTCTTGTTTCTGTATAAGTATAAGTGGACATACACTATAACAGTGTTTTTCAACCTTGAATACGCGACCCCTTTACAAGTTAAAAAAATTTTGCCGACCCCCCACGGCCATATTAAAACTCTGTCAGTGATTTTAAAAACTACATATTTAATTTTGTTTCTGTTGAGATTTAAATATCGATTAAAAAACTAATTGTACTGTAAAATAAACAGGCACAGCCTTCTCACTGAAATTGTAATTTTTTTTTTTATTGTAGTGTAGGACCTACAAACACTTGTCTTTTTCTTTTACTCGCGATCCCCCCCGTGTATGGCTTTGCGATCCACAGGTTGAAAAACACTGCACTATAAAAACACAAATGAAAATAATTTTACAATGATCGAAATTGTTCTTAATTAAATTATTTGGATACATATGTTGTTACAATGCTGCATGTGTTGTTGCTCTTTTCCAATAATTTTTATTTAAGACAATAACAAAATAGTCATATTATTATTATTATTAATCACAAGCAGAATATGAAGTTTTGAATAAAAACTGCACCAGAATTATTATTGTGTACTACTTTGAAAAAAATTATTGTTTCCATTAATTATTGTATCATATAAATGTATGAGCTTCTCTGGTAGTCTTCCTAAAAGGAATTGGTGGAAACTTGTGGTCATTGAGTTACATAAGAAGACACGACACCCGCCTATCTAACAAAATTTTGCAATATTTGATGATTGTAACCATAAAGGGAATCATGTTTTACTGATTCCCTTTATGAATTACATGAAATATATTCAATATTCAATTATCTGATAAGATTACAGACATAAGTTACTGTTAATTTGATTTATTATAGGAGTAAATCAGTTTAAAATGAATATTTTTTTTATTAGGCCGTACAAACAGTGTGAATGAAGGTGGCCAAGATCAGGCAGCACCTCCAGCTACCAGTCCCATGGAGAGAGTACTAAATATGATACCACCTCCATCTAATACGGCAGAATCTACGTACACAGATGACGATGAATGGGATTAACAAATGTACACAACTTCAGAGTTTGTATTATATATATATATAATTTGAATGATAAGCACATCTAGAGTTTTTGATAATATTAAAAGAAATGTTGATGTAAATTGATTTGTTTCAGAATCATAATTTTTGAAAAATAAAATTAAACATGCAGAAAAAAAAATTAATTTTTTTATCATTTTTGATCAAATGAATGCATTTGCATATGGAATTGTGATTAATTTTGTTTAATCAACTAAAAAGCATAAATGCATATAACATTTTCTGTCATTTTATTTCATTCAAAAATTAACTTTTTCATTGGAAAATAATGAAATGATTTTTTTTAAATATACAAAAACTAAATTTTAATAACAATAAATGTTACTTCTTTTAATTCTATCACCATATAAAGAGAATTGATCAAGATTCTTGTTACTGTACTTCTCTCTTTATTTAATATTCTGTACATTAAGAAATGTGATATAAATGATTTTAAATTTGTCTTTTGGTGAAAGTGATTGTACATTTAAATTTTATACTTATAAATTTAAAATAAAATGAAGTAGATTATTATTTGAAACTTCCTGCATGTATAGTTAATATGTGCGTATGTCGGAATTAACAATTTCTTTAAAATGCTTTTAATACAGAAAAGAATAAGCGTCAGCGTTTAGAAGAAGGAGAACAACGGCGCCAATTTCATACAAGATTTGGAAGTTCAGCATATAACAGAAAAGATTCTTCAAGAAATCATAGTATGAAATTAGTCTAAAGATATTTTGATAATAGATTATAAAATATTTTTCATGTTAAATTTATAAGGCTTTTAATAAAAATTTTGATCAATTTTTGAATTTAATATTGATTTTCAATTAATGAAGGTTTGAAACTATTTTGGAATTTTAAACATATTCAATAAATATTTTTAGTTTAGAAATAAAAAAATCCTATAAAGAAAATGTTAGTCCCAAAAAATTGTTCCATAGATATCACAGCAATAATTGCTTCAAAATTTTAGTACAGTTGAATCTTTTTAATTTTAACACAAAAGAGAATCTCAAAAAGTTTGAAATATCGAAATCTAAATTACTTGTTTTTGAAAGTTTACAATTTTTTTATGTTTCTAGTATACAGAATAGTCCATACTCTTTGATATCTTCTTACTTTCATTTTTACTTTTTTAATCATTTCAGCTTTTTAAGCTAAAGAGAAACTTCTTTGCATTCCACTCTTGGACACCATAAAAATATAGCTTAACAACTTTCTCTAGACACAAATGTCACTAAAATAGGAAAAATTGTCACCCATTTCAATGTTCCAGGAGTTACCCCAAATTGCACACATTCTGTAAATCACTAGATTACATTTTGTTTTTAAGTTTTATTTTTGAAATATTTGATAAATTGACTTTAAATAATCTAAATTTATACCAAAAATTTTTTTGAATTAACTGTTAACTTTTAAACATTAATTTTAAGTACAAATTTTGAGGA